GTTCTGTGATTCTGTGATTCTGTGAACTGAATAAGATTCCAGGCACGTCTTATTGAACACATTCTGTTTACATTGTTTTTCCAATTGCCTAACTTGCTGTTCAAAATCCAGCTCAGCTTTTTCCAGTTTTCTTTCAATCCAAAGCAAACAAATGCTCAGATCATAAGATAAGGCATTACACTAACGTGCTTTCCGAGACCCTCAAAATAAAAACGTTTGGTAGTTTTGCAATGGGTCATTGTGAAAGGTATTCACCTTTGCTGCTTGGATTTAAAAAAAAAAAGTTATCTCTGTAATGTTTGCAAAACTTGTAGTTACAAAAGTGGTTTGCATAGTCCTCCTTCACCAAAAAGACTGTTTAAGTTCATTATTGTGCTGCCAGACTTTGGAGCCTGTTTTCTTTCTTTGGTGTCAATGGGAGCAGTATCAAAGTTCCATGTAGGAATAACTGAAGACCAGTGTTGTATGTTTAAGTTTCTTTAAACAACTGATTTCAGGAATTTTATTAAACTCTGAACATTTAGACACAGGTCGCAATAATGTTGCTGCCGTTGGATTACTTTGTCTGCTTTTCAGGGACTTTTGACTCTTTGTTCTACACTTCTGGGTCACTTCAGTGTTTATACCAGTGTTGTAATTTTTTATGTGCATTAGCAAATCCTTATCTCATGGTCAACTGGTAGGGACATTGTGATAGAGGACTTAGTGCTGTTAGTTTAGAGGATTTTTATTATCTAAAATTAGCAGCTTGCTAGGCATTTTAATGTGCAAAGAAGTTAAGTATAGTTAGCAGAGCTTGTAGTGCTGTTTATTATTAAGGTTGCTCAACACTTCCTATTTAAGATTGTTTTCAGTTATTTATAGCTTTGAAACTGTTAACAAGAGTAGGCTAGAATTTTATTCAGCAAAATTTAAGTCAAAGCAATGTAACCATTCCAAAGAACAAGATTTTTTGAAGGTATGATTTGCTATGTTAAGGTTTTTGGAGTGAAGTCTTTCTTTTGAAAAGCTCTTACTTCCCCATTCTCTGAGAATGAACTTCACGTTTGGCAGAAGTGACCTTTCACCTAAAGATAAGCCTTTCTGCTGTTCTTTACCAAATCTATCCATGAGGCCCTTTCACAAGCCTTTATAAATATTACAGCTCATAAACTTTTAATAGGGACTCACTAAATCTTGCACTAAGATTCCTGCATTCTATCTACAGTAGCGTTCCATAGACAGAGACTGAACAGTTTTCCTGCGGAAATGTGATAGAAGAATGGCTAAATCTGAGACAAAGACACTAGAAAAGGGGCTGTGGTTGCAACTCACATTTCCTGTTAAAAAGGAGTAGAATAAGTTGAAAATTGGTGAGAAGCAAGGACTCTTGAACAAGTAAGACACAAGAATAGGACGGGAACAATGAGGAAGATAACCTGGCAGGGATTGGAAGGACAGAAGAAAACCAGAGTAGGGCAGTTTGTGTTAATTACAGAAATTTTCTCTAAATCCTCATTTGAAGATTGAGATTCCTAAATGGTACCACTCTTTACAGCTATTTGTAACATCCCACTCCTGTTCTTCATTCTTGTGTAGCAGAACTGTAGTGGTATATTAATACAATCAGCACCACATTATCTGAAGTAATAAGGGATTTGGGCACCCTGCATAATTTAAAATCTCTGATAATGTAGACCCAGCTAGCTACAAGAGCACCAAAATCAACTGGTTGCACAAAGTCAGTGCTGCAAAGCTCTGGAGAGTGCAGAGACCAGTCAGCCCACTTGCAGTGCAGCACCTATAGCAGCAACTCCACATCACAGGACTGTCTTGCCCCTGGGATTATTCTGCCATCAGCTCAGCAGTCTTCATCTGAAGCTAAAAAACTTAATTGTATTTGGTCTTTTGTCACCCATAGTCATGCAGTGGTCTCTGTGTTGTGTTCTCCTGTGCTTTTGGCTACAGTGAACAGTGCAGAGAGACTTAAACTGTCTATAAATTCTTCCGGAGCCGTTATTGAAGGCATTGTAGCCATGGTCACAAAAATCATACCAATGAATAGCTAAGTGTTGCCTAATTAAATTAAGTCCAGCAATGGCTAGCTCTTCTGTAGTACTCGTAGAGTGATGGTTTACAAGTGCTCATCTTTACTGCATGTACTGTGGTGATATAATCTTGGGCTGAGAATCTGAATATTTATGCTTACCAGACTAAAAGAATATTTCTGGCAGAATTACTTCATGTACTCAATATTTCTGCTTTATTTAAATAAATAAAGCTACAGATGAAACCCCACTATATCAATGTAATCTCTCGAATATTATGAAGTCAGGCATTCTACAGTGAGGAAGTGCCAGAACTAGGTTGTCCATGTAATCTGAATTTATTCTTCTTATGTATATGCATAAGAATTAAATTATGGCATCTCCCCCCCC